TTCCTGCTGTATGAAATTTCACAATGGGTGTGGCTGGGTGTGAGGTTTCTTTTTTCATTCACTGTTCTGAGTAGTTGGTGGGCCCTGACAATATAGACGCCTGTGTCTTTGAGTTGTGAGAAATTTTTTGTAGTATTCTTTTATTTTATCTATTTATTTTTATCTCATTTTTTCCTGTTTTCTTTCTGGGATTTCTTCCAGTTGGATGTTGGAACTCATGGGCTGATCCTGTAGGGTTCCCTACCTCCTTCCCATTTCCTTATCTTTTCTTTCCCTTTCTGGGAAATCTCCTTAGCTTTATTTTCCAACTCTTAGGTTGAAATATTTCTGCTCTCGTTAATATTTTGAAGAGCTTTTTCTTGTTCTTTAAACATCCCTTTTCTTTTCTTTCTTTTTTTTTTTAAGATTTTTTTGATGTGGACCCCTTTTTTTAAAGTCTTTATTGAAATGGCCACAAGACCACCCCTGTTCTATGTCTTGGCTCTTTGGCCGCGAGGCATGCGGGATCCCAGCTCCCTGACCAGGGATCAAACCTGCACCCTCTGCATTGGAAGGCGAAGTCCCAACCACTGGACCACCAGGGAAGTCCCGAAATATCCCTTTTCTTATTTTTTTAAATAGATTTATTTATTTTTGGCTGCGTTGGGTCTTCGTTGCTGTGCGCGGGCTTCCTATAGTTGCGGCGAGCGGGGGCTACTCTTCATTGCAGTGCGCTGGCTTCTCATTGCGGAGCGCGGGCTCCAGGCATGCAGGCTTCAGTAGTTGTGGCACTCAGGCTCAGTAGTTGTGGATTGGGGGCTCTAGAGCGCAGGCTCAGTAGTTGTGGCACATGGGCTTAGTTGCTCCGCGGCATGTGGGATCTTCCCGGACCAGGGCTCAAACCCATGTTCTCTGCATTGGCAGGCGGATTCTTAAGCACTGCACCACCAGGGAAGCCATATCCCTTTTCCTATAGCTTCCTTGTTTCCTGGGTGCAGTATTGTCTCTTATTTATCTGAGAATATTAATTATAGGTTATTCAGTTTTCTCTCATTTCATGGATTGCATGTTTCATTGGCATTTCTATCAGAGGTTTTCCTGAAATGCTGGTAACCTTTCACTTCCTGTTTGTGTTTAGCAGTTAAACCCACGCATTCTGACTGGAAACTCTATTGGGAAGGACTTGTGAACTGTGATCTGAACTTCAGGACAGGGTCAGGCATCAGGTGCTGTTTTACCTGGGAATTCCCACATGTCAGTGTCTCTGGGTCTTTGGCCCAGGCTGCTAAGTTTTCCCATAGAGAGATTCAGTCAACAGATATTTCACTGCGTGCAGATAAGCCAGGTGCAGTTCTAGGTGGGAATCCAGTAGGGACTAAAGCCTATGAAATCCCTGCCCTTTCTGCCGGGAGGATGTCAGGCTCAAGGCTGACAGTTTGAGCCTGAACAGAGGACAGTGCATGGAGGTTCCACCAGTCAGTGTGTCCATTTTCACTTGACTCTCCTCATGGGAAGGTGGTACCTGTCCCCTGTTCTCAGCTGTGCCTCATGTCCCCAGTTCCGAATTTATCTGGTTCAGCCTTCCTGGAGAGTAAACTGCAAGAATTCTGGACTGGGGGATGGAATCCTTCACAGACTTTCCATCAGTCCTAGATTTACTGCCTACCCAGAGCCTGCCTTCAGACTGGAGGCACCTGGTGCGTCTGTTACTGTAGCTCACCCACGAATCTCTCTTAGTAAAGCATCCTGCGTGCATGGGATAAAGGTTGTACCGTCTGTGTTGACACCTTCTCCAGTAGTGCCTTGTGTAATACAGTGATTCACATGACAGTGCAGTGGGGCTGGGGCAGGAGAGACGGGTTGGCCAGCGGAGGCACAAGTATAAAAGGAAAGAAACGGGGTTTGTACAGGTAAATGTGAGCACATCTGACAGGTTAGTTAAAAGAATTTAACTTCAGGAGTGGTTTCATGGAGGACATTAAAAGGGCTTTGGCGGGGGGGTTGTTTTTCTGCTAGCACTTTCTTTTTTTTTTTTTTTTTTTTTTTTTTTTTTTGCGGTACGCGGGCCTCTCACTGTTGTGGCCTCTCCCGTTGCGGAGCACAGGCTCCGGACGCGCAGGCTCAGCGGCCATGGCTCACGGGCCCAGCCGCTCCGCGGCACATGGGATCTTCCCAGACCGGGGCACAAACCCGTGTCCCCTGCATCAGCAGGCGGACTCTCAACCACTGCGCCACCAGGGAAGCCCTCTGCTAGCACTTTCTTATTCACTCTTGCGTGAGGATGAAATGTCAGCAATTTGTATCTTAATGTTTCAGGTTTGGAAACCAGAATTGAGAACAAAGAGTTGATTCTAAAGCAAGAAATTCTAGAAGAAGTGGAGCCACAAGGGCAGCTACAAGGGCCCCAGGAGAAGGGGCCCCTGTCTTCCGAGTGTGGGGTTGCCCATGAGGACAGGATAGAAAAGCCATCAGGCGACCCCTCATTGCTGAAACTTGAAAAGCCTCCTGAAGATCAGGGAGTCACCAGCATCTCAGATCTCAAGAGTGCTCCCAGAGAAGAGGGAGACTCCAAAAACAATGAATTGGGGACTAGTGCCAGAAGTTCAAACTTTGTTCCTGCTCAGCACATCCAGACAGCAGAGAGACCCATTACCGGTGATGAACATGGGAACAATTGCAAACACAGGTTAGATACCGTGAAACCTCATGAATCTCTTGACAGTGGGGAAAACTGCCATCATTCAAGCCTACTTGAGGCGCAGAGGCGGTTCCATGAAGAAAGACCTTATACGTGTGACACCTGTGAGAAGACTTTCAAACAGCGTTCCGACCTCTTTAAACACCAGAGAACCCACACCGGGGAGAAGCCCTACGGGTGTTCTGTCTGTGGGAAAAGCTTCAGTCAGAGCGCTACCCTCGTTAAACACCAGAGGACTCACACTGGAGAGAAGCCTTACACCTGCCCCAAGTGTGGGGACAGCTTCAGACAGAGCTCAAATCTCAGTCGGCATCAGAGAGTCCACATGGGGGAGAAGCACTACATGTGTCACGAGTGTGGGGAAATCTGCCGTATCTCCAACCATTTTAGACATCAGAAGACACACCAGGGAGAGAGACCCTACACATGTGAAGAGTGTGCAAAGAGCTTTAAACGGTGTTCCGACCTCTCTAAACACCAGAGAATCCACACCGGGGAGAAGCCCTACGAATGCCAAGAATGTGGAAAAAGCTTCAGTCAGAGCGCAACCCTCATTAAACACCAGAGGACACACACAGGTGAGAAGCCGTACACGTGCCCCAAATGTGGGGACAGCTTCAGACAGAGCTCACACCTCAACCGGCATCAGAGAGTCCACATGGGGCAGAAGCACTACACGTGTCACGAGTGCGGGGAAACCTGCCGTATCTCCAACCATTTTAGACATCAGAGGACACACCAGGGAGAGAGACCCTACACGTGTGAAGAGTGTGCGAAGAGCTTTAAACGGTGTTCCGACCTCTCTAAACACCAGAGAATCCACACCGGGGAGAAACCCTACGAATGCCAAGAATGTGGGAAAAGCTTCAGTCAGAGCGCAACCCTCGTTAAACACCAGAGAACTCACACTGGAGAGAAGCCTTACAGATGTCTTGAATGTGGGGACAGCTTTAGACAGAGTTCACACCTCATCCGACACCAAAGAATCCATAGAAATAAAGCCCCATCATTTTGACATGCTTCTGCATGAGCTGTTTTGTTTCTCTCTCTCTCTCTTTCCAGAAACTACATTCTTTGGCTTTTGGAGTATTTCAGTAATCGTGGGTCATACTGCCCTGGGCATTACACCCAAGAAAGGTTGAGTCCAGCTAGAGTCTAGGGATGCCCTTTGGTAGCGTATTGCCTTGAAGCAGGACTGCGTGAGTCAGGAGCCCCACCGGAACACACTTTCCAGCAGAGCGAGGGCAGAACCATGGGAGTTCTGTCCTTGTCACTCTTCTGGAACCTCTGCTTTTGGACCAAATCTTGTCCCCCCTGTTGCTTCCCTGAGAATGTATTGCAGTCACTTAGAATTGTCTTTCTACTTAGATGGTAGATATTTTATACTCCAGAACACCTTGTACAGTTCAGTGTCTACAAGAGGCACTCTATATATTTGACTTTTTTAAAAATTAATTTTGCAGAGTCCCTCTTTCTTTCCCATTCTTTCCTTGTTGCATTAAACACAGCTAAGAACTTGGATTAGAGCCTAAATCTATCTGATTATCTTTCTAGTGCTACCCACTGATAATATGCATTGCATCCAAATTTTTTGAACTTTTTTTTTAATTAAGGGAATACAAGTACATTATTGGATATCTGGGAAAACAATAGGGGGAAAATTACCCAAAATCTCAACACCACAATCCATTTGATACTGGTATATTGGTGTATTTCCTTCTGATTCTTTTTCTATGCACATTTTTCTATATAACAAAAATCACAGTGTTTATATTTTATATCTTCTTTAGTATTATGTCTTAAGGATTTTACATGGTTTTCCTAAACGTTATGCTTAATAACTGGTCATTTTCCATCAAGTGGATGTAACAATTCCTTTTGTTGGAAGTTTCAGGTCTGTCTCATTTTTCATTGTTGCAAAAAATGCTGTGGTGAATGTCAGTGTAATTTTAGGATTTGGATTGTTCTTTAGAATCTAACGCTACCTTCAGAGAAGTAGAATTCCTTGATCAGTGTTTTAGTTATTTTATGCCTTTCAATAGACCTTTCCCCCAAAGCAAGTGCCAAATTACATTCTATTATGAGTGTACCCAGGAAGAAAAAAAACATTTTTGATAAACTGGTAGCAATCTTCAGCAAGACTCAAAAAGCACTATCTATAAAAGATTGATAAATTTAACTCCACTATATTAGGAAAAGACAAAATAGGAATTACAGCCCATGAAGATGAAAACACACTCAATTACATTGGTAATAAGAAAAATGCAAATTAAGCCACAATTAGATACTATTTCACACCTTACAGATTATCAAACCTTTCAAAATCTGTCAGTACCAAGTACTAACAGAGATGTACAGTGGTGGGTAAGCTCCTCAGCTATTGGTGTGTAAGTTGTTACATTTATTAGGGAAAACAATTTGGTGCGACTTCTTAAAGTTGAACATGTAGATAACTTATTTCTAGGTCTTTTCACAGGGAACCAAGAGGCATTTGACATGCTGTTTTGTAAAAGCCCCAAACTGGAAACATCCGGAAAACTGATCAGCCAAAGAAGAGTCTCATAAATTGTGCTATATTCCTGCAGTGGGATACTCAGTGTCAGTGAATATGACTGAACCACAGCTATACAGAGATGCATGATTCTCAACACACATGTAGCAAAAGAACAAGAGTATGATTCCATGTACATAAAGTTCCAGAAAAAGCAAAACTAGGTAATATATTGTCCAGACAGAGATAAGTGGTATATCTACATAATGCAAGAGAATGATTAACTTTGTTGAAGAGGAAGGGAGATGAGACGAGAGAATATAAGGGACTTTTGTGATTCTGAAGGTGATTTATTCCTTAACTAGGATGAGAAGGCATGAGTGTTACTGTTTACTGTCATATATATTCATATACTTTTAAACTGTGATATCTCACAAAAAACACGGAAAGTTTATTGTGAAATATTGCTAACATACACACGAGTGTAGGCTAGAGCGAACAATTTTAAAGAACATTCACATACGCACCACACCGATTAATCAATTCTTAATATGTCATATTTGTTTCATATATTTTTTTCCTTTGGCTATGCCACACGGCTTGTGGGATCTTAGTTCCCTGACCAGGGATCAAACCTGGGCCCCCTGTAGTGAAGGCACAGAGTCCTAACCACTGGACCACCAGGGAATTCCCTTCATATCATTTTTAAGGAAATAAAACAATATAGGACTTCCCTGGTGGCGCAATGGTTAAGAATCCACCTGCCAATGCAGGGGACACGGGTTCAAGCCCTGATCCGGGAAGATCCCACAAGCCACGGAGCAACTAAGCCGGTGCGACACAACTACTGAGCCAACGTGCTACAGCCCGTGAGCCACAACTACTGAGCCCATACACCACAACTACTGAAGCCTCCACGCTTACAGCCTGTGCTCCACAACAAGAGAAGCCACTGCAATGAGAAGCCCACGCAGCGCAACGAAGAGTAGCCCCCGCTCGCCGCAACTCGAGAAAGCCCGCGCACAGCAACGAAGACCCAATGCAGCCAAAAATAAAATATAAATACATTAATTTAAAAAACAACAACAATGTATACTGTAAGGCAGTGGTTCCCCAACCTTTCCAGCACCAGGGACCAGTTTCGTGGAAGAAATTTTTCCATGGATGGGGGCTGGTGGGGGTGGTGGTGATGGTTCAGGCAGTAAGGCACGCGACGGGGAGCGACATATGAAGCTTCACTTGCTCGCCTGCCACTCACCTCCTGCTGTGTGGCCCAGTTCCGGTACCGGTCCTCAGCCCGGGGGTTGGGGACCCCTACTGTAAGGGACACTCATGTGCCCTCCCTAATCCCATTCCCCTCACCTTCAAGCCAACTCATTACCCAAGGAGAGCACGTTTCTGTAGTTGTCCAGCATCACGTCTCTGTAGAGGTCCTTCTGAGCCCAGTCCAGTGTGTCCCACTCTTCCCTGAAGTACAGAGCCATGTCCTCAAAGGACAGCAACCCCTGGAAACACAGCGACTAAGTGCAGCTGCAATTCTTACAAGAACTTTGTGAGCTACAGTATTATTATTACAGATGGTCAATATTTGAGGCTTCTCTGGCCGTTTGGTCTCTGCTGCAGTCACTCTGCTCTGCTCTGGTAGCACAGACGCAGCACAGACAACAGGAGAGCAAACGGGTGACTGTGACCCAATAGAACTACTCGCAGCTCCAGGTGAGTTTGCCAACCCTGCTCTGTACAACCCTACCTTCCACATCCTGTATTTCTTCTGCCCGGATCTCTCAGGAAAGAGATGGCTCATTCCCATGAGGTCACTGAGGACAGGGCAGCATGCGGGCCATTCACACAGGGATGGACAGGCTAATGGGACACAGGGACAGACAGGCTAATGGGAACCAACCAGGCAGGCTGGAGCTCGTGGAGCTGGCTGTCGTGGGCACCGCTACCCACTAGGTGTGAAGGGGGAGGACGGGAGGGGACACTGGGATCCAGAAAGTTGTTGGAGAAGCAAGACCGGAGCGGGGGGCAGCCCAGCAGGGAGGGACTGAGGGATAAACCCCCAACAGCGATCCCCTCCAGGCCTCTGGTCCCCACCCCATCCCCCTGCCAGAAGCCAACCCGAAGCAAGAGCAAGGGAGCCCGTGGATGGAGAATATAAAGGCCAGCCTCCCAGGGCGCAGACAAGGTGGGGAACGGTGGAGAGTGTCTCCACGGGCCAAACACAGAGCACTGAGCACCGTGCCCACGGCAGAAGTTTCCACCTGCAACTGTGTATCCAGCTCCCGGGGGCCGAGCGGCCTGGTGTCTGCCCCCCACACTCGTCGTGGTTCAGGGGGTGTTCGTGCGGAAGGGCTTCAGCAATAGGAACACCAGCCCCACCCGAGATGCTTCACGCCGCTCCCCTCTGCAGACAGACCCTGAGTCTCGCAAACGACAGGCCTTTCTTTCCTCCTGCCCACACCTGGTCCAGGGTTAGGGTCTCAAGCCCCCTCCCCCGATCACGAATATCCTCCGTCCCCAGAGCTGCCTGCAGACGCCCTCACCTGCCCCACCTGCCCGCCGCCTTCTCTGCACCTGCGTGGAGGCTCCCAGGTGCTGGGATACAACGGTTCAAAGCCCCAGAGTTATCTGTGTGCATGGGGTTTCCTAGCTGGGCCCTTCGTGTGGCTCCACAGTTCTCGCCCTCAAGGTCCTCACCAGGGGTCTTCTTCCCCTTTATCACTCCCGCTCCTTCAGGAAGCATTTACTGAGCACCAGGAAGGCGCCGGCCTGCGTGCCACACGCCAGTGACAGTAAACGCACAGAGGTGACAGCTCCTGCTGGGCCCACAGGACCAGCCCCTCGGGCTGCGCACTGCTCGACTCTAGGGGACACTGTTCACATGGCAGCTGTGACAACGGGGCCCCCAGAGCTGCTAAGTGCACAGCCTGTGCGACCCACGGAGCCCCAGCCCCGCTTCAGGGAGTGAAGGGTCCAGTGGGGAACCGGGAGAAGTCAACACGGTGACGATCCAGGGGTCCACGGGGGGGCGATGGGGGCTGTGAGGACAGGGGCTCACCCCACCCACTCCTCTCAGGAGGCACTGCCAGTCACATCCTGGAAAACAGCCCCCGGGGCACACGGCCCTCACCTCCTCCCGCCTCCCCACCGGCCCCCAGACATCCCCTTCATCGGGCCTCACCCCTCCTCCTCGGGCCGATTCCATTCTCTCCTGTCTCCTCCAGGGTCTTAATCCAATGACCACGACTCTCCTGTCTTTGCCCTTTTCCCCCTTGTGATACTGTGATTTAAATAAGGAATATATATTTGGTCTTCCTCCCTACTTCTGGCACAGAGTTCCTAAAAACCCTTGGATTTTCCTAAGGGATAAGAACAGAGGAGCATCTTTTAATATTTGGGCTTTTGTCCTCGGTTTCTGAAATAGCTCCAGGGCCATACAGGTGAGAGGAACATCTTGTTACTCATAAAAAATCCCTCAACCACACCTGAGTTCATGTTAATGTGGAAAACTCCTAAGGATGGGGCTGGATGTCAGGGGAACAAGCATGTGATGAGAGGGTTAGAACCTTCACCCCTAGCACCTGAGGGGCGGGGAGAGGCTGGGGTTCAGTCAGTCACCAAAGGTCAGTGACTCGACCCATCACGCCTACGTAGTGAATCCCCATAAAAACGCAGAAATGGAGGTGCTGGGGGGTGTCTGCCTGGAGAGGAAAGCCCTGCACCCCTCCCCCACTCCCCCTGCCCTGTGCCTCTCTTCCATCAGGCTGATCCTGAGTTGTAGCGTTTTACATGAACCAGGATCTGCTCAGTAAACCGTTTTCAGAGTTCCGTGAGCCACTCTACCAGATCAATGGCACCCACGGAGTGGGTCGTGGGAACCCCAGTTTAGAGCCGGTGGGTCAGAAGCACAGGTGACAGCCCGCACTTGTGATTGGCGTCTGAGGTCGGGGCGGGGGGCGGTCTTGCAGGGACTGAGCCCTTACCCTGTGGGTCCGATGCTAACTCCAGGGGCACAGTGTCAGAATGAGTCAAATTGCGGGCACCCAGCTGGTGTCAGAATGATCAAAATGAGGCGTCATGAAGCAGAGCAACACAGCCGCGTTCCTTCCCAGACTATCACTCCTGCCCGTAGCCCGCAGGATGCTGCCGCCTCTCCTGCCTTTACAAAGATGCTCCTGGCGCCTTGCTCCCTCTCGCTTCCACCCTCTCTCCTTCCCTTACTGGGCCTTTTCTGTAAAGAAAACCCTACACACTCACCTCCAGTCACCCAACACCCACCCAGTGGCTCTTCTGCAGCTGTCCTCCTGAGTCCAGCCCTCCGCCCACGTGGGAACACAAGGGAGAGTCATGGGGTTAATGCAGGACCTCAGAGAGATTTCACAGAGAGGATTTTTGAGCTGAGTCTCAGCATATGCAGAGGTGGGTTGCCTGTGGACAGGGAGAACAGGATGCACACAGGCCGGGGGACAGAAGGGAGTCCACATCTCTGCGGGCAGGTCCTCTGGCCGTCAGGGAAGGCGGGAGATGCCACCAGAAGGGCAGAGCGAGCTCTGTGATCCCTCAGCAAATGCGGACACGCTGGGCCAACGGGTCAAATCGCTGCCCCTCGAACTCCCTCTTGCCTCCCTCCCGTCCAAGACTGTTCTTTCCAAATGGTCGCGATGGTTCCTCACGTTGTCTCCTCACTTTTCTACTAAGCCTCTCACTATCACCCTCCATCATGTTACGAGTTCAGTAACTAAGCTTCCAGTGTACCCTTTGATGCCAACAGATCAGAATTTATCCTGTGTTGTGGGAGTTTGTTTCCACAGTTCCCTCTCCAAATGGCTTGTAAGTGCCTTAGGCGAGAGCTTCTCTCCCAGCACAAAGGCAGTACTATCTGGTATACAGTAGGTACACAATAATGCTGACAGAAACAAGGAGCAACTGTGGTGACAACAGCTAAAACTTACAGAGCGCTCCACGTGTCACTAGATCCCCTGCCGATAGGCCACGTGCCCCATTTCACTGAATCCTCACAACTCTGCGACAGCTACTATCATTATCCCATTTTCCAGATAAGGAAACCGTGAGAGATCAGGTAACACATCTAAAACAGAGCCTGGATTTGAACCCGTCTGGCCCCAAAGTTCAAGCTCTTTACATCCTACCTTCCAAGAAGGAAAAACCCCCAGCTGATAAAGATGGCTCAACCTAAACAGAGGAGTTAAAGCCACGTGAACGCCATCGCCCGGCACTGAGACTACACCAAGGTAGGGGAGGAGGAACCCTGCTCACCTTCCACAGGACTGGCAGAAACATGGCTTCCATGGCCTGGCCTCTGAGGTGGTGCAGCCTCCCGGCCATCAGGCTGAGCTGAAAGAGAGGAAAAGAGCACACGTAAGGCCAGCCCCGATTTGAAGCTCTCTCACCAGGCAGCCCTGGACAGGGAATTCCAATGGGGCCAAGGAACCTCATCTAAATACCCCAATCACTGAAGCAGCAACTCAAACAGACATTTGTATCCCCATGTTCCTCACAGCATTAATCACAAGAGCCAAATGATGGAGGCAACCCAAGCATCCTGGACAGATGAATGAATAAACAAAGAGTGGTCTACAGACAATAGAGTATTATTCAGTGTTAAATAGGAAGGAAATTCTGACACCTGCTACAACATGGATGCACCTCGAGGACGTTATGCTAAATGAAATAGGTCAGACATAAAAGGACAAATATTGCATGATTCCACTTATATGAGGTAGCTGTAGTAGTCAAATTCATAGAGACAGAAAGTGGAAGGGTGCTTTCCAGGGTCTGAGTGGAGGGGAAAATGGAGAGTTGGTGTTTAATGGGTGCAGAGATTCAGTATGAAGATGAAAAAAGTTCTGGAGATGGACCATGGTGGTGGCTGCACAACAATGTGAATGGGGGCTTCCCTGGTGGTGCAGTGGTAAAGAATCTGCCTGCCAATGCAGGAGACACGGGTTCCAGCCCTGCTCCGCGAAGATCCCACACACTGCGGAGCAACTAAGTCCATGCGCCACAACTCGCTCTAGAGCCCGCGAGACACAACTACTGAGCCCACATGCCACAAGTACTGAAGCCCGTGCGCCTAAAGCCCATGCTCGGCAACAAGAGAAGCCACCACAATGAGAAGCCCGCGCACCGCAACGAACAGTAGCCCCTGCTCACCACAACTAGAGAAGGCCTGTGTGCAGCACTGAAGACCCAATGCAGCCAAAAATAAATAAAATTTTAAAAAAGAAAAAAAATCCTAATTTATCCCTCCCCACCCCGACATTTCCTCTTTAGTAACCAAAAGTTTGTTTCCTACGTCTGTGAGTCTGTTTCTGTTTTGTAAATAATATTATTTGTATCATTTTTTTTAGATTCCACATATAAATATCATATGATATGTCTTTCTCTGACTTACTTCACTTTGTATGATCATCTCTAGGTCCATCCTACCCTAGAAATTTGGGGTTTTTTTTAAAGATTTGTTGATTTTATTTATTTTTGGCTGCATCGGGTCTTAGTTGCAGCACGCAGGATCTTCATTGTGGCGCGCAGGCTTCTCTCTAGTTGTGGCATGCAGGTTTTCTCTATTTGTGGCTCACAGGCTCCAGGGCCTGTGGGCTCTGTAGTTTGTGGCATGCAGGCTCTCTCATTGAGGCGTGCAAGATCAGTAGTTGTGGTGTGTGAGCCCAGTTGCCCCACAGCATGTGGAATCTTAGTTCCCCAACCAGGGACCAAACCCACATCCCCTGCATTGGA